CTAAGCACCTCTGCCTGTGGTTAGAAAAAACAGGAACTGTGTTGGGTTCACATCTCTGACTACATGCTCAGTGGGCAAGGTGACTTTCTGCAGCTGCATCTAGACTGGAGCAAAGCATTGTAAGTGAGCACCAAGGTGTAATTCCTGCTCTGTCTCACCAATAGTTCCACCAGGGTAGGCACGGTTATGAAAGCGTACCTGCTTTGTAAGCTGTCAGAGATGGGACTTCGTTTGCTGTAACCTGCCCTGAGCTTGATTTGGCCACGTCTCTGCAAGCCGATGATATTCTCCGAGCAGTGAACCCTCCAAAAGTCTGCATTGAACCGGCTTACTTTTCAAGCTTAAAAGCAGGTCATGTTCACATGGCATTTGTGTATCGACCCCAAAGCACTGAACAAGGAAATAATTTTTATAAAGTCCTCTCCTCTCGGAGAGCATGGTCAGATGTTATCCCCGTTTTACCAATCATGAGACAGACAAAAGGACCACATTTTGCTGTAAAATCAAGCACGTGTTTCCTTTTCTACACAGCATGAGACACCTGGAAAAGGTTTACAACATGCTCTGAACCGAACTAAGATGACTGGAAGATCACAGAGCCTACACTGTTGAGCTTGGTAGCCCTTCTTGAGGAGCTACTCAAGGTCTCTTCACGTGGACCAAACTGCCCTGTTTTGTGTCATACGGTAGAGCCAGCTGGATGCTGGGCAATGCGTGCACCACTCATCACATCGTCCAGCCTGCATGCAGATGCTGGTCATTTCGTGGAACCCTTCATCCTCACACCACAGGCCACAGCTTCACTCCTGGTTTGTACACTGGCCAAAGAGCTTGGGAGTTCCTCGGCAAAAGACAGCTGCGGGGAGGAAACAGCAGAGAGCAATTCCTCCAGCCTGTGCCTGGGAGATGCCTGGGAAGGAGAGGGGCAGGGAGGAAGCCCTGGGCAGAAGTGGCTCTGGTGGGCCACAGCCAGCCTGCTGCACATGGCTGGTCCCTCTGCTTTTGAGGGCAGCTGGCCGAGCCCGGTCTGGGGAGGCTCTGCCATGCACCCCTGCCAAGGGCGGTCAGATGTCTTTCTGTGTGGCATCGGAAAGCCGAGCTTCATGCTCAGACATCGTATCGTACATCACGTTAGCCACTCAAGCAGCTAGGAAAGGACACTCAAGATTCATTAATGTGGTTTTAACATTAATTACGTTTGTAGAGCAGTGCTGCAAAGGAGCCTATTGACAAGCGCATCTGTCCTTGGCTGATGTGCCGCGGCAGGGTGACACTACTTTGTTTTTCACTTCCTTTGCCTACCAGAACCACACACCTCTTTCCACCAACAGAAAATGACAGAGCATTGAGATTTGTCAGGACAGAACTTAGGAGTTCATGGCCGTCATGCTGTCCACTTAACTGACGATGCTGACTTACCCTCCCCATTTCTTCCAGCATATACAATACTTGCTAACTGCCCTGTGGCAACCAACCTAAATCCCTCTAGCTTCTGGAAAGCAACTGGGCCAAAGTGGAGAGGTGGCTCCCTGGGACAGTTCTTGTTGCAAAGAGTCGGTTTTCGCAACACAAAGCTTCAAAGTCTTCATTTGTTGCCTTAAACAAAGGACGTCCACAACTACAACCACCCTACAAACCACATAGGCTTTTACAACCAAAAAAGCATATTTCCATAGCTATCAGGCCACCTTCTTTCATTCACCTCTGACTTTCTAATGCAACTACAAAGCACACTCCTCAGAAAAAACAAGGAGTATATTCAGGCGGGATAAGAGCTGTGATGAAGTCCTAGATGGGCAGAGGAAGCATGGCTCAGGCTCAGTTCATCAGAAGGGACTGAGTTCTAACAAACCAGAAAGCAGAGACTGAAATCATGACGGCTGGTGGCACTGTGAAATTATCCGGTGATATCTTTAAGCCAAGTGCTAGTAAGAAACTTGCCCCAAAATCAAACAATCACACATAACAACAACATCTACTTTTGCCAGCCCAAGTAGTTCACTCTGCCTCACAAAATCGTGCCAAATCTGCGAAATAAAGATTACGCTGAAATGGCCTAGCAGGTTTTGGTGGTGGTGGCAGCAGTGTAAACAATATGATCCCACTACACCCCTGGGGTGTCCTGAATTCAGACGTAACCTTTTGCCACAATCACTTTATAAATGCTTCCTTCCTGCAACATAATTTTTCCATTCCATGTAGCTCCATGCATTTCACTCTCAGCTCTGAAATGTCTTGCACTGAAACACACCACTTGGCTCCTTCTTTTTCTTCCCACCAAACCATCCCTTGCTCGATTCAACACATATTTACCCAAATAGAGCATTTTTTCCCAGCAGCATTCAATGCAATAAGCAGCACATTCTATTCATTAATGTTCCGAAGTGGCATCAAACAAAAATTTTGCCCATATTAAAACAAAGGCCTTAAGTCCATCTAGGATTTTAATTCACTATAATGCTATAATGACACCAAGGAAAAAATTCAACCCCAGCAATTTGTACCAGCAGCATATGATGCAGACAGCACAGTCCAAAAGCGAGCATCCCCCCCACAGCAAGGGGCTGCAGCTTTTCTATGCAGAATGGCATTGACCCTATCCTCATTTCCAGCTCCTGCTCTGCCCTCCCTGCGGGCTAAGGTTCAAAATCTTCATATTACAATTTGATTTTATGGGAGGATCACATAAAAGTCCCTCTGCTTCGGTTCCCGGCAGTGGGAGCGGGGCAGGGAAGCAGGGCTCGGTTGCCACCTGCTGGCATCTGACCTCCTCCCTCCGCCAGGCTCACACCAAAACCCACCGAAAATACAGAAGAAAAGCCCCAAACCCCAAAATACCCAAAATAGAAATAATACAGGTGCTCCCCCGGACCAAGCCCCCTCTTGACTCAGCAAGAATAAAACCAGCTCCCCAAGGTGTGTGATCAGGTTGCGGAGCGTAAGGGTGCTGAGCTTCACAAATTAATACATTTTTAGACTTGACTATGAAAACTCATGGTACGCTACAGGAGGGGTTAACATCTCGCAGACAGGAGCTGCGAGGTCTCCAGCGTCAGTTTTCATTTTTTCAAGGTCAGTCAAACATACACCTCCTCATCGGTGAGGCCACCACGCCTCTGGGTTACAAAAAGACTTCCACAAATGTTTCTCTTCCAGCTTTAGATAAAGCTTATATGTATTTGCTCCAGAGAAAAGCAATGGGGAAATAAGAATCATTACTTCTTTCTCCATTTCTTTGTCCTCTTCCCTGCTGATGAGGAAAGGAGAAAATTTTCCTACTTTATCCTCTAACACTAAATACAATATTTCAGTTTTCTTGGAACGTTCTGTTTTATTCTTGATAAATACTGCAAGAGTTTTGAAGGCAGCATGGGAAGTCTCCAACTTGTATCTTTCGAAATGTTATAGAAAGAGTAAAAATGCAACTGGGAGATAAAAGGCTGTCTTCTCTTGTGAAAAACTTATAAAACCCTCATACATTGCCTGCTGTAATCTGGGGAATCTCAAAACTATAAAACTGTGGTGTCAAAGTATTTTTTGATTCACAGCCACAGGCAAGCCAAGGAGAAATAATTCAGAAGAAAGGAAGACATTGATTTTGTATGCAACGGGTGACTCCAAGGCTTAGGACTGCATGGGCATGTGCACAAGGGAAGATGATGAGAAAAATCTATCAAATTAGTTTTCTCACATCAGCATTCATGAAAGGCAGCGCTTCATAAAACCTCCACATCAGCAAGTCACCACGGCTCCTCAAGGACATTAAGAGTGACCAACTTCCTAAGAACAACAGGACAGGGGAGATTTTTCCTTGTTCAAAACAGCAACTCTTGGCCTCTCCACGTGCCATCACTCAGCTGAGATAACGGGACATTTAGCGGGGCCCCATCACGTCTCTAATCCACCCAGACATGCTGAAATCTTCTGTCTATCACAGATAAAGATCAGAAAGACCAAGCCAAGAATTGTAAAGCGACAATTTTCATTAAGGAAGCCACAGAGAAGCCTGCCAAAGCCTGGTCGGCATTTGTCTCTAATTCCAAATAAATACTATCGGGGAAAAAAAAAAACAACCAACCTGCATCCCCCGTAGCTGGATGTAAGCGTACAGAAGAGATTAGCTGTTACTAAGAATAAGACCAACGTGCGCTGTGACGACAGCTGGATAACAAGCGCTAACGATCGCAATTCTCCCAGTGTGAGCTGAGCACGGGGTGAAGTCAGAAAAATGTGTTTTTCCTATGGATAAAACAGGGCCGATCCCACCGCGCCAAGGCTGGTGGGGTTTGGTCCCTGGCCCCTTCAGCATCGATGCCCCCGAGCCCAGCGTACGTGTGTCCAGCTGGCGTTAGGCATTAGAGATAAAGCTACAAATACAACATTGTGAGGAGGATTTCCTCATTGGTAAAATCTGCTCCTCAGAGGTGCTGCTCCCAATGTGACTGGTAACCATGTGCCTTTTAAAGTCACTTCTGACTCAGTTACATCCTAGCGTATCGGCATGGTTGGGGGACCTCCTAAACGCCTTAATGCAATTTAGGCAGCCAAAATCCAAGCGAAAATCCTGGCGATCTGGACACACCTGTCACTTCCTTCAGCTGCTTTGAAAAATCACAGCAAACAACACCGCAAATTAAAAGCGCTAAGTAGGGGGTATTCTGCAAAAAGAAAAAGCCTATCCAGACCATTCCAGCTCCAAAAGAATACACACCTGATTTCTCAACCAGAGATGGTAAAAATGAAGACTCTTGCCGCTGATAGGACTGAGGGGATGATGTGAACTGCATAGCTCATTACTGCTGCAATAGCACCCCCATGAGCCAGGCCCACTGTGCAAGTGCTACGTCAGGACCTGTTAACAGGCTGGAGATGTACATCTGGGAACCTGTCACAGAGGGTTTTTGCCCTTGCTATCACTTGTACATCTCCATCGCTGCTAGCTATGGGGGCAGACTCTTGTCTCGCTTTGATCTGAACCACCACCAAATTATAGCTCTTACCGCTCCTCCAGCCGCAATGACTGCACTGGTACCTCCCCAACAGCAGAGGACACAGAAATAACTCTATCTTTGTGCAAGCTGCTGCCCCTTATCTTCAAGTAGCTGGGCTGCTCTCCCAGCTGTTTTGACAGATTCACTACATTGCTACAAAGAGCAGAGAAAACTGTTATTAGCCAAATAGAAAGGTGGACCTCTCTCTCTCTTAAATTACTATTTCCCAGAAGGTTCTGGAGTCCATTTCTTTCAAACACAAACCAAAGGAAAAATATGGAAGTGGAACTAATTCTGTACCAGACAACTTCTTGCATGGTGTAGCGCCAGTTCGAAATGAGCTCTTCCACTGCGGTTTATCAAATCCTAAAACTAACCTTACTATTTTATCTAGCGCTATCAAAACCTGTAAGCTATCAATATTGTTAAGTAAATTACATCCTGATGTTACACGCTGGTGAAGTTACACCCCGGGTCTACAGTGGGTCTGCACGAGCAACCCCGTGTAGACCATGCGGTCATGCGCAGCTTTATTTGTGCAAGACACGGACCTGACCCTTCTCCATACTGCAAAAGGTTGACGAGGTTGCTGTAGGCTACGCCGTCGGAGCATGCCCTAAAGGCAAGAGGTTTCTGCTGCAAGAGGCAGCAACTGCAAGAAGCAGAGAGAGGTCTGTTATGCAGAGTGCATCTTCTCCCTGCCCCCCCCCACCGTGTGAAGCAGCCTTTGCAGACACAGAATTCAGCCTTTTAGATTAGGTGATTAAACAATTATAAAGAACCAACTGGTTTAGACATCCTCCCTCCCCATCTAACGCTGTGCTTTAATCATATTGATTAAAAAACAAAAAAAAAGACAAAAAAAAAAAAAAAAGACATGAAACCCAACCACAGACGTAAGTGCTGATGGCCTCCTAGGGAGCTCCTGCTCTCCCATGGCTCTGTACTCTCCCGCCCCAAGCACATCAGTTGAGGAATGTTTTTCACACATGATGGAAAAATAATTCCATCAATGACAATAATTGCAGTTTTGAAGAAATCCCTGTGCCGGAATACCCGTCTTGAAGGTTCACCTGTCTTTATCTGAGAGGGCTGTGCTTGCCTGCCTTTACTACAGAAGGCCAGCAAGGCGCAGGGTCAGCACTCCCCTCTTCCTTCTTAAGCAGATGAGTAACAAGATGCGTAATGGAGGGATTAATCTGTGCGAGAAGCTTTGCGGTGCAGCACACTCTACTCCTCTTGGACAGACTAGAGGTAAATCTTGTTTTTCCTCCCACAAAGGCTATGTGCCAGCTTTCAGGTTTTAAGAATTTCCTTTGCTGCAGCCAGAGAAGGCAAACCGCACGACGGAGTGACTCTCTTCCAGCAAAGCACAACCTGCTCCGCAACTGCTACTGGATACTGCTACCCAGCGGCATTCAGCAATTCAACAGTGTTATTTAAGGCAAAGGGTATGTCATACCCTACCAGCTCTCGACCTCTAACCTGAGGCTTATTAAATAGCATTAAAAGGAGCTAAAATGTGTTAAATACTGTCCCACTATTACTTATAGAGGCAATCTATGTAAAGATGAGAGGCATGGTCTAGAAAATAGGAGCAGAATTCATCCCAAACATCACAGCCACCTGAGGAGCCTCTTGCTTCACAATCTCTGAAGTGCCTTAGGGGTCTCCTAGCTTCAGTCAAAGTGTGGGGCAGGCAAGAGAAAGAACAGCACAGGATTAAATTTAAATCTCCTAAACTGAGGCAAGGACAGAATTATCCATGATGAAACTTGGCTAAGACGGACGATCTTCTCTGCTGCTGCCCTTTGTAATCAGCTCTTCTTTATTCCCTCAAAAATAGCATTAAAACAAGAAGAAGAGGGACAAAGTCTGTTTTTCACTTCAAGATGCAAGTATTTTCCATCAGGTTCTCTAGAAGTGAATTGACGCAATTTTTTGGCTGGCACATGCAGTTACATACTGACCACACGGCAGAAATGCAGCGCACTGGCAACAGCAATCCCAGAATCGAGGCTTCCATCGCAAATACTTGTGCGTAGAGCTGCTTGTGCCACAGCACCTCACACTCTGTCTCCAGCTCCAAATGCCCAAACCACATCCGTTAGGAGTCACTTTTGTCTAAAAGAATGTTTGTATGTTTTGTGCTGCTTGTATGGAAACGTGTTCTCCTACAACTATTTTTTCAGTGAAATGACTTAACTACAGAGCCAGATTAGCTGAATCTTGTCTTTATAACAATACCTGAAGCTCTACCTTTGCTTGTGAGGAGGACACCAGAAAATAGATTTTAAAATATAGTAAAATTATTGTATTATGACTTTGCTTCTGGACAGTCTTTCTCTACCACGGGTGATTTACAACTTTAGTACTAAGATTAGAAATATTTTCTTTCATAGTTTGCTTTGATAAGTTATGCTTTTTTAATCTCAAAGATACCCACATACACCTCTGAAGCCTGAAATAATTTTAGCAATTCTAATGGAAATGTCATCATCTATTCAAACTACACCTGAGAAAACTTAGGTGGAGGTACCACTTGTAACATGACCATTTGCCTGCTGATTGAACAAACAACTGAGCAATTCCTCAACCACCTTGAGTTTGTCTCAGTCACAGGAGATTAAGTCTTTTGGTGAATTCAGTCTAATGTCTAAATCAACACTGCAGAATGCAGGAGCAAAACCAAGTTTTAAATATTGTAGGTCTATCACTAAAAGGAGGCTGAAGATGCTCCTGGCTTCCATCACTTTTGTTTTCATGCCTTTATGAAACGGTTTCATCATAACAACTGGTCAGTAGAGCCGAGTAGAGAGTTTAGTGCAAAATGTCTACTTCAGATTTAGCAGTAACACAGACCCAGAAAAGGCCGGCACTCCTCTCCAGACGGTTGTTCTGCATTCAGCTTTTTTGCAAAGACACTTTTTTATTCCTTTGAAACCACTGGCTGGTAGGCAAGTATTTTTCAGCTAAGTAGCAAGCAAGCATTCACTTACTTTCTTATGGGTAAAGCAACCAGAAAAATCTTCATGTATTTGCAGGACTTCCTTCATGCCACAGACCAGAAAAATCTGATAGACACTGAACTGAAGCTTTTACCAGCCACGCAGATGTCAGCCAACGGCATCAGAACCACTCTGAGTTCCCGTAAAGACAACAACCTCTCAGCTTCCCACAATTATTGTGACAGCTGGAATTTCAAAGTGCCATAGCTCATGAGAGAGCCATACTATTCATTCCAAATTTATTAAAACCACCAAAAAGACAGCAGCCTATCTTTCCACCGGATAACTCAGTTCAGACAGCAGAGTATTTTCACTGAAATTCTCAGAATTGTGATTGTTTCTTCTCCACTGGTGAGGTCTACAGAGTCTTGCATTAAATTTCATGTAATCTATCAAAGTATAATTAGAGCTCATTGTGTTTTTTCATTCTTACTTGTCATATGTAAATCCCATTTGGACTGAAAAGCATCCAGCATTGAAAGAAGATCATTTTTCTTGTACACAGATACTCCCAATACTCTTAAAAGAAGCAGTCAATGTAAGAGTTTTTATTCGTGTTCAAAAGACAACATTATCTGCAGGATTGCATTCCTATTTCATGCTTAGAATCGACTCAACTGAGATCCAAAAAAGGGTGCCATTTAACAATTCAGTAACGTATTTCCTGCAGCACTTAATTCCTCTCCCAGACATTCTCGGTGCTAAACTACCATGGAATTTCTCAATACTTCAAATATAAAACTGTTCTTCGGAACAGTCCTACTGCAAACTTAATGATGACACAGCATGATTTATTTGGATTTATGGACTAGGACTATTAAACAAAACTATGCAAAAAAGAACATATATATTTACATTAACTGCGACAACAGTTATGACCTTTATGCTTTATGGTCAGGGAAGTGTCTGAGAAGATCAGTGGAAAAATAATTAAAGCACATTTTTGAGAGGGCATACCACTTCTGAAGCATGGGGTAGTGCTCCCCGTCTGGATGAGAACATGGCATGAATTCACTTATTCTCACAAGGAACCAGGATTAGAGAACGTCACGTACTTCTGTGTAGCAAGCCTGTTTTCTTGAAGCAGTTTGAGCTACTCAGCTTAAAAAAGCAAAAGGTTATGTTGCTATCTAGGCAGTATCTGCATTGAAAATTTTCAAAATTCAAAATAGGTGGATTCAAGAAGGCAGCATGCCTACTCACTGGTAACGTACGTTCTGGCAGTTCAGAAGTCTCACTACCAGATATTTGGGACAATATCCTATCACTCTGTCTCACAAAAATACCTGAAGTTAAAAGAAAACTATGTCAAAAATCTTGTTCTTTATGAATTGTTTTAATGAACCAAATACGAAGTGGTATAAACACAGGTCAAGGAAAATAACATGGAAACCAGCCCCACCAACTGCTGACAGAAGGTAAAGATAGAAGAATAATTGAGGATGATTTGAGGGAAAACAAGAAAGCATAGTGAGAGATATTCATTCTTGCCAAGAAGATCAATCATAAACTAGTTAAAATTTCATGTCAAGTGCTTAAATAAGGTCTCTGCTTTGTTTAACATAGCGAGTCCACAGAAGAGTAGGGAATGGGCTATCCCTGAATTCATGGCAACAGGTCCTATAGAGTGTATTCCAAATTTCTCCAAATAATGGAGATGGCTAAAAAGGAAGAGGAAGTGAGGACCTTTCGTTACCCAGCCTGGTCTGAGAAATGGAACATGTTATCTAGACCCCATAATCTTTGGCATAGGTTCCTTTTTCAATGCCTGCGTGAATGCTTCAGTCCCATGACTGTGAAGGTTGCGGCGGCCAGTTTCTCATACACTAGAAACATAAGAGCAGCAGTAAGGACTGTCTGCAGGAGCTTTGCTTCAAGGCCTTTGTAGAGTCCCATTAATCCAAAACGCCTAAGGAGGAAAAAAAAAAAAACAAAAAAGAAAACAAGTGTGAATAGCCTTCCATAAGTAAATCAGTACACTACAAAGAAGAATTAATATAACAAGTTAATGACAATTATAAGAATCTTAAATTCATTCTTGATCTCGAGTGTCAGGTATATTTAATAATATTTTAAAGAGAAAATTCTGCAGAAAGTTAAGTCTTTTGTGCAAGAAACTTGCTTCTTTTCAAGATGAGAGGTGAATAAATTGGTATCCACAGATATCCTTGATAACACTTACTGTAGAGGTATTTTGGAGAATTTGGTTTTGTGTACTTGTTCTGCAAGATACTACAAAACCCAGGTTGACTCAACTGGCAAGTTTAAGGGGGGCAAAAAGAAATAAAAGTCAGATCCAGCAACACTTTAAACATATTAGTAATACTCAAGCCTTCTATACTATGTTAGAACAAACCAGAAAGCTCACCTCACTCTCTGTTGAAGAAGGTAAAGAACATTTCTAAGACTGCCTAGTGTTCGGTTCTCTGGGTTCAACCTGTGGCGTCCAAACTGAAAAAAAGAAGAGCATTTAGTTGTAGTATTTCCCCATGGTTGCTAGGCAGAGAACCCAACGCATGCTTAAAATCTGGAGAGCCTATCTTAAACTTCTTTTAACATTTACCAGGCTATATTAGCCACCAGCAAATAACTGAGGCCAAAGCTCACACTACTGAACTTTACGCAGCAAGCATTAAAACTGTATGTGCTACAGTAATTTGTTCTGGTTTTAAGATGGATTCTTTCGTGTTACACATGCCTGTATTTGCTCTCTTTCAATTGTTCTGGAGGAAACAGTTTTCAAGATCTCAAAAGCATAATTTGCAGAGTCTCAGCTAGTATATGACATTCAAAGCAAGTCCTTTCTGGCTTGCTCAGCTTTCATTTAACAAAGATTCAAAGCCTCATACATCTGCAAACCATTATTACATTGAGATTGCATAGCTGAACCCAAAATTTATGCCCAGCAATGGTCTTTGAGCAGAACATTTACATGTGAACTGCTGTGGAAGAATCAAAAATTGTTTGATCCACCTACCTGGCCTAAATACTACTTCTCTTTTACTTACTGTGTTTGTTTATCCCCAAACTGTTTTTTAGTAGACATGATAGCTGCTGCTGTAATTTTATGCCTCAGAGTTAAACTAGCAATTTCAGCAACTCCTTTTCTAGCATTCGCTGATAAGTCTTATCCAACACAGGTCGATAGTACTGTCAGCAAGCTGCAACTATGAATTATTAATATGCAAGGGTTGCCACACTTGTATTTATAACAACATAGCCAAATAGCTTTTGAAGCCTGTGTTACTATTCTGTGCTAAGAAAGGTGAACTTGAGCAACTGCCTGTGGATGAGTTCTCCCAGAACTTACTCAGGCAACTGGTACTTCTCAGACATAATAAATTACCACTGACAGTAGGTAGAGTATGCAAGCAGATTTAGGCTGTTTAGAAAGTACAAGAAAATTACAGGATAACACAGGTCCCTTTGCTATATGCCTCAAGAACTCAGATGGAAACAGCAGCAACAGAATGATGTTGGAAATCTCCCTTTATTAGGCAAATACGTGCTCACAATCCACGATCTTCTCATCAGCAACTAGCTCATTTGATATTGATAAATCAGCATTAAGGATTATTGTCAAAGGCTCAGACATACCCCCAAAAAATTGCTAACTAGGTTCCAAGTTACAGTGCCAGTCACCACCTGGATTACTCAAACTTCCAAACTACACAAAGATTAGGTGCTTCCTTCTCCTCTCTTCTCCACCGTCAGACTATTTTGTACTGCAAAGGTTCATCAAGGGGGAAAAAAAGGTTCATTTCTCCCTAGGATGTCAATACTTCACTGATTACCACAGAAGACTTTCCAAAAGGGCTAGCATTCTCTACACGAGAGAAAAGAGGCTTGAGTTTTAAAGGGAACTTTTTCACCCAGGATCACAAAGAACATTTTGTGTTGCTATTTCTCCAGAGGCACCTTTATTCATCCACTGTTTACCGACACATAGGTTAAAGAACGGTTTCACTACAAAATGAGTAACGCTAGCACCATGTACTTTTAATGGCTGAAAAGGAGATAGACAGCAAATGGCAAGGCTGGAAGCTGCTTACCACTATCAATTACACAGGATTACTGTTCATTATATGGAAGTAAG